AATTGTAATAAAATCTGCGTTGGAAATTTAAAAAAATTACCCATAAAATCCATAAAATCCATATTTTCATTGAGACTCGCGAGATCGATCCTAAAAAAAAGGAAAGCAGAAAGAACATTAAAAGTGCTCTTGTTCATCAAGTAAAAAAAAATAAGTTTTCTTTGAATAAATTTAGGAGTTTGCATAAAATATACATGTTGCCGAATTTTTTTTCAATTTCAGCCGTATTTTGGCTTCAAAGAAGCTGCTTGTATGTAAATTTTGGAATAAATTTATTTTAAGCCTCGAATAATTTGTGCCAGATCTGCAACAATTTTTAGCAGACTTCAGAAAGTTTCGGGCAAAGCCGAAATAATCTCGGTCAGTCTTTTCTCTTTTTTATTGGGATAAATTCCAGAAAAATAACTCAATTCGATAATCGTAAATTTCAAGTTTCGGCTATATATTAAATAAAGGTTGCCGAAATTTTAGAGGCTGCCGAAATTTTACAAGCGAAACTCCTTAAAAATCTTGCTTAATATGTTCGTCAGACCTTGATCAACCTATTCGAAGCCTTATGTTATGAAATTAGTTGACTTTGCGGCTGAAATAGCCGAAATTCGGCATGTATATTGTAAAATATGCAACTCCTTTATTTCCTTGACTGGCATCATTACTCAAGAAAGAATAAACTGACGAGTCGCTTTAGACAAGCAGTCAAGCGTTTTGTTCTCTCAGTTTGTTCATAACTTGAACAACGATTCCAATATAACAAATCTATTTTGCTAAGAATAAATAAACTGGCAGTTCGCTTTAGACAAGCAGTCAAGCTTTTTTACTCCCAGCTTATTCGTAACTTAAGCAAATAAAAATGTTATCTCTTTTTTAACTGTTTAAAGAAAGTACATAATGGTTCCTCCTCTAGAACCGTAGACTTTAAACAGGGAAATTTTTTTTAAAAAAGAGCATAAAAGAGGAAACACTTTGGTCTCGCTCATTAACCAAAACGCACCTTCCAGTTGTAAATTATTTCCTTCGCCTTATTCTTTTACTCTTGCTTGTATAATTTTGTCTTCGGCAAAGAGTTTAAGGTTTTTATTATTCTATCAAAAAGTTTGTACCCGGTGGAAAGTGAAGAAAAGAAAGTGAAGACTGAAGAAATGAAGGTTGAAGGTTATAAGATACCGTATTATATAGCTATTTATTGTTTACATAGACGCGTATGGCGCGTATTCTGTTATCTGCTTATGAAATGATTAATCAAATTGTATGATATAATGATGTCATCAATATTACAAAGTTACATGAGTTCAGATATAGAACTCCGATTCTTACTATTTGACTAATGTGGCGTTGTGTGACTATATTAGTTAATATGCTTTAATAGTATATACTATTTATAATATAAGTTTAAATTAATACTATAACTTAGTATTAATTTATTCTAATTCTTAAAAATTTTTTGCAACAAATTTGAGATACGTGAAAATTGATAAGCTTGATCATTTGTTTGATCAAATTATTAAATGAAATCAATTATTTAAAGTAACTAAGCCATAATAGAGATTGATTTTCTATTTCTTCGATTTAACCGATTTTTAAAATCGATTCAAGTCATTAAAATCCTTTGGAAATTGTAATGCATCAAGTAGTTACGACCCGAACTAGAAATTTACAGATTAATAGTTTTTAATTTCAGTTAATTCTGGTTTGTGTTAAATATATATTTCACTCATTAGAAAAATTTTTAAACGAAAATATGTTAAACGTTTACTAATAATAATCTTATTTTTTTTTTTGAAAAAAATATATATTCGTAAAAATGTTTAAAAAATTGTTTATTTATACTATATTAAATTATTTAATAATACTGTGCATATCTACTACTCCAAAGTTGATGTTGACATTTACTAATTAATTACAATTCGACTTGTGATGTAATATTGCGATCGATACACAGCCATTATATCATTAAAAGAAGAATCCAAGAATAAGATATCCATCTGGGATTCTAGATAACAAAGTATTGCTAGAAAACTTATATTCCGTCCAAAGTTACGTTTATAGTAATTTGTGTTTTATTTATAAACAATTCGAATAATTCATCTTTATACATTTTCTATGAAATTGGCTCTAATTGTTATTCTTCTAAATAATAAAATTTTATGATCAAATTAACGTTAACGAAAGAATGGGAGAGTAAAAAATCATTGGATTAAATAATTCTTTTCTCGGGAATATTCAATCTATCTCTGTAGCGCAATAAATTGTAAAGACGTTGATTCATTACGGAATATTAAATTTCACGTATTACATCACAGGTTTTTGAATGAATAATAAAAAATATGTAATTTAGTTAATATCAATGCTAGAAGTGTCTGTTGGATTTCTCTTACTAGATAAATCCAATGATATATATTTTATTGAAACCCAATCATTATCAATAACAGAGGTAACTAATTTATATTATTTATTTAATAATTAGATTGTAAGTGATATATTTAATTTATAGTATATACTTGTTATATATTTAACAAGTAGCTTAATAATAGAGCTCATTTGCATTAAATATATTTTTATGGAAACTAGGCAACTATCTTTTTTTTCGTTAGAATTTAAAGCTTACATTAAATTTTTTATGTATTAAATATTAATATATTTAGTTTGTAGCAATTTTTTAAGATAATTGTTTCTTTAAGGTAAACATATTTATTTTACGTGAAAAAGTACATATTCGAAAATAAATTATAATATTTTTAGTGCAAAAGCCACATTGCCGAATAAATATAAAGTAAAATAGACTATAAAAATCTTTTTTTCAAAAAGAGAATTCTGCGCCTCACATCGGCACAAAATCGCCAAAAGGATTGATTATATCAAAAATTGGTTACGCTCGATACAAATTAACATAAATATGAAAATATTTTGTTTTCTCTTTACTGAAACTCGTTCAAAAAAATGTAATCTCAAACGATAAATCGAATAATTATGACGATTTAGATGAGTTAGATTATCCACAATTTATATATAAAAAACACTTTCCAAATTAATAAATATTGATTTGGTATATCTGATTCTGAAGTAAAATGAGGGACTTTAATATGTGCTATCAATCATTGAAAGAAGAGAATAAAATCTATCCAGTGATTAAAAATTGCATTAGTTGAATCACTGGTCTAAATCTAAGATATTAAATTGTCAGGCAAATTTTTCGTGTAGATCAGTGTTTTAATGAATTTAACCGAAAGTCTATGGGTCACTTTATTTGACCAGTATATAAAAAAGTAAACTAACTAATGAACTCATGGCCGTAGCAGATTGTATCCGCTAAGAAAGCTTTTTTCGGTCTTTTCCTTTATGCCAATTTTTTTTTTTTTTTTTTGGTTTCTTTTTGGACCAAAGTTTTTTTTTTAGGCTAAATTTTTTTTTCAATGGTAATACTTTTTTGAAACTGATATTTAAATAATTTTTCTTTCTATTTTTCTTAAAACTGAAACTGAATTTTTTAATATCCCCAGTTTTTTAAAAACCGAATTTTTTTTCCCTTTATAACCTATACCAATATACTTTTGATGTAATGCTTTTTATTCACTATTTTTATTAACTTATATATGTATAGATATATTATTATTTGATTAAGGTACATTTCACCGAAATCCATTTCACAGAAACCCATTTCGCCGAAGCAATTTCACCGAAGGGATGTTTCACCGAAGAAACGTTTCGACGTTTCGCCGAAAGTGTATTTTATCGAATCCATTTCGTCGAATCGTCCATTTCACTGAATCGTCCATTTCACCAAATGGACATTTCACCGAAAATGGTTGCGTTCAACATTTTTATAAAACGCAATGAAAATAAAAATTAAATTATTTTTAGAAATTTTTTTTTTTTTTTCCAGGATATTATCACTTCAACATTCAAGTAACTGATATTAATTGTTAAGCAATAAATAAATAACTTTTTATTTTCCTGAAAATATTTATTCACGAAAAATTAAAAAAGATTAATGTATTATGATAAACAACGAGGTAAATTTAATAAAAATCAGCTAATTCAAATTTTATCTAGAAAAGATTTCTTTATGTATTGAGTATAAAAACAATAAAAATAACCCAAATGAAATAATTAATTTTTCGGTGAAATGTCCATTCGGTGAGATGTCCATTCGGTGAGATGTCCATTCGGTGAGATGTCCATTCGATAAAATGGCTTCAGAGAAATGGAATTCGGTGAAATGGGGTTTCGGTAAAATGGTATTTCGGCGAAACATCTTTTTAGCGAAATGACCCTTCGGTGAAACTTCCCTTCGATGAAATGGCTTCGGCGAAATGGATTTCAGTGAAATGGACTTTAATGAAAAGTCCGGATACCTTATTATTTATTTCATCTTTGGAGTTTTTGGAGTTTCAGGAAATGACCAATCGGGAAATTGACTTCGGGAAAATAATATGTTCATGCAAATAACACAAGCACTCCCTTTTTCCGATTTTTTAACTGATCAAAATCAATATATAAATATATATATATATTTGTTTATTTGAAATAAATATGGTTATGATTTTTTTAGTTAGAATAAGTACATTTATATTATTGTAATAAATACTTTTCTTAAATATATACCAACAGGTTACACTAGTTTTTATTAAAATTATAATTTCAACTAAAGTTAAAATTAGGTACAATACCACTTAATATCATACGCATTTTGCGCATCACACTTGCCTTTAGCATCGATGTCGACAAGTATGAATTGGAATATCTTACTTGTAAAACGATTTATTTAATAGACTATTGTACTTGTAAATCGATTTATTTAATAGATTATTATAATAAAAATTCAATTTTTCAATTAAAAAAAAAATCATTTTTATCGACTCCATCAAGGCATCAACCCATCAACTTGAGAACCTCAAAGTCGAACCGGACCACAGCTTGAGAACTCTCAAGTCGAACCAGACTGCAACTTGAAAACTCTCAAGTTGGACGGATCGACCCCAATCAGACCAGTTCGGTTCAACTTGAATTAATTAACTTATCAGTTATTAATATAACAGCATTTTTATTAAAATTTAAGATGCTAGTAAAAGTTATGCAAACTGAATAAAATTTAATACAAAGTAATTTCAGGCAAATATTAAGTTATTTGTAAAATTTGAATACATATTATTATGCCAATAATTAAAGTTAATATTATAATAATGTGATATAATTGAATAAAAATAATGATCGATAAATGATCGTCAGGCGGCTTCCCCGACTAACAATACTGCGAGTACTGATGCTGCTTCTTCTTCTGTAATTCCTATTATTGCTGATTCGACCGCAGATACGCCTGTCATATTAATCAAAAAAAAGATTTAATAGTCTTCAGAAATATATGATCTGTGATAACTAAAAGTTTTCACTCATCTTCAACTTGAACTGCTACCCCCATCTCTGTTGCTATCAATTCTATACCAATCTCTAGAGTGAAAAACAAAAATAAATAATTATATATATATATATACCTATTTAACTATATCTAAAAGCAATTTTTTTTTGGTAAAATTCAAAATTGATGGCGCACCTACTGGTTTTCCTCCAACTTTAACTACGAACATAACGAATCATAATTTAGTCGTAAATCACAGTACATTTGAATTACATATTCTAAACATCATAGTAAAATAATATTTTTACCTCCAAATCTAAGCGCATTCGCTACTTTGTCTGCTGCACTATACACTGACCTCGAAGTAACTTTTTCTAAATTTTGAAAAATAGCTGCCTCAATTTTTTCTGGTGACATAATTGCTTTAAGAGCATCAACGAGACCTAAGTTTTTAAACCGCCAACTATAGCTCCTTCCAGAAGTGAAAGCTTTTATAACTTTTTCGTACATTTGTTTTAGGCTAGGAAATGCCTCAGCACCTTGCACATACTGTGGAATCTGTTTTTCAATAATAGGGCCGATTACATCCCAATCGTCCTGAAACACGAGAAGGCCTTTAAAAATTTTCGGAATTGAATAACCAGATTCTGCTGTGGTTAAGAAACCCAGAGTTAATGTGAGAATTAGTACAAGGGTAAAGATACGCATGACTGATGGTGTTCTAAATAACAAAATAGATAGTATTTCTGTCACAATTCGCAAATGTACGAATACAAATATATAAAAATGATTAATTAATATGAACTGTTTGAAGGTCCCGCTTCCAGGGCGGTGCAGGACGGAGACGTTTAGGTTTGATCGAACTACTATGTGAGGAAAGGTTAAAATTGTGAGTAACTTCGCATTTGTTTGATTGAAGTTCAAGATCTTTTGTGTCATCGGAGGTGTTCGGATCATCTCTGAGGCAGCTTGTCATATGAATTAATCGACAGTGTCAGGAAATTTCCTAATAAATTTGTTCATTTCATTACGCAATTTTTTTTGACATACGGTATTATCAACGTTTCATGCTTTCTTTTCGGTAAATTTCACCATATTCTCATGGAAAATATTGGTTGTAAAAGTTAAGCATTGTGCAGCTACATGACAGGTGTCGAGACGTTTAACACTTGTTCCTATGAGGGCGGCCTCATCCCTTCTAGCTTTGGCAATCGCGTCACGTTCAATGTTATCTTGTTGTTGACAATAGTCTATTATTTCTTTCTTTTGCCGATCACAGGCAAGATTCTTCTCAAGTTCTGACATATAAGTGAACTATTCTTGGGGCTCTGGTACGATAAAAGTTCCATTCTTGACATATACTGGATCAGGCGGTATAATGTCATGGTATTTGTGGGGATAAATATATCTGGAATGGGGTTAGATGGTTCTACAGTATACAAAATAGGCATCGAAGATGGAGAGTTGATAGGCGCTGTAGATTCATCTATTGAAACAACCGAGAGCGATTGGTACCGGATGATTGTTCACAAAGTATGGGACCAAAAATTGGTAGTCGTTCGCATCAGGTATTGTATGCGCTTGTTTGTACTTTAAGTGTTTGATAGTTTGTTGATGAACTGTGATTTGAGAAATAAAAAATGATATTTTTTTGCAATGGCAAGATTATCCGCCATTGTGCGTGTATATCCTAGCTGTGGTTTCGTTCTGCTTCTACACGAACGTTCAAATCGTTTTTCCTGTCTTTTTCTTGTACGAGGGTTGGCGCTCGGAGTAAATTGGAAGTTGGAAAGTCTCTTCCAGTACATATGTCTATTACCTAATCTTAAAATCGAACCGGAATCTCGAGCATGAAGTGGTTCAGTATAGGTTATACCCAACCTGTTGGAGAAAATATTTTTGGTACGGTCAGTTTGCCATCTGCGATACAGCGAGATTGGCATGCGAGGCTTTATCGTTAACAAAATTTACGGGGATGTCTATATTTTTCTTGTCATCTTTGGGTTTGATATCTTTGAAAGCTTTGAACTTGAATAGGTTTCATTGATGATGAACGCAACCGCGTCATTTATGTGACATTATGAAGGGCAATGGGATTTTACAAAATTGATGTAATGTAGGGAGATTTGAATCTGTTTGTTTGTCCAAACAAGGGGTATAAATTCCAAAACACAAGTGGTATCTTTTGTAGGTGAAGTTATAAAAAGTTCTTGTGGTAATATTTCGTTGGTCGTTCTTACGAGCATGTGATGCTATGATATGGACACGATCCAATAATATTTGTCTCTGATCATCTTTGAAATATTTCTGTTGAATACGTCGTGGAGTGTGATAACCATTGGTATGTATTTTTATATGAAGTTCTTTGGTGCGTTCGGATCGACCGGCAAGCTCAAAAAAGTAACTTCTTGATCGGCGAATTTCATATATCTTGCTCGGTTTGGTTTGATCACGTGTAATTTATTCAGGGAGACCTGAAAGGAGTTTTTCAAAAAATTTTTTGTAGGTTGAACGTTCAATAGTGACATGTTCAGGTGTTTTAGTGTAAAGGAAAGTATAAAATTTATATATTTATAAAATGTAAAGTGTATGGCAATGTAGAGGAGCAAGTAAAAATAAAAACTCTTCCAATATAAAAAGTGGTTAAATATTACATTAAGTGTCGATGTGAAGATATTGTCCTAATGGATGTATAATTCTATTAAAAGTAAAAACTTTTAACTAAAAGATATGAAATGAAGTGGTGAATATTCGCGAGTTGTTTGAAATATGTCGATAGTAAGCGAAAGCTAGTGATAAAAGTCTATTTTCGTAATAAAAAATTTTTTTACTGCGCCTTTTTAATAAATTGACATTTTGTTGGAAAGAGTTTTTTTTTAAAATTATGTTTTTTTTGTTTAATAAATATTTTATTATTTTATATATTTTAAAAATTAAAAAAAGAAAACAATTTAGGTAAAGAAGATAATTCTATTGATACACCACTTGATTTGTTACTTTTTTTGAGAAAAATTAAATATATAAAATATACAAATACTGATGTTTAGCAAATGTCCCTTTTATTCGCTATCCTCTTCCATAAAGAATTCACTTTTTATTAAATAAAATCGCAAAACAAAATGGTAAAAATTGGTAAATAATTAAAAACAAATTGAATTAACAAAGAAAATATGCAAACTAACGAAAATGAAATTATTTTTTTTTACGCTTTACGGGATTGAAATTCAAGCAAATGTTGAACGAGAATTATTAAAACTCGCATCAGAACAGAAACAGAATCTTGAATTTTACCTATCCCAATATCTTAATAATTACTTAATAGTTTAATAATAAGTTTAGAAATTTTTTCCATCATTTCTCTAAGGAACAAAATTTTTTTATATGTCAAATTTTCGGTTCAAGATATCCAAAATCTTGGAAATTTGGCCTTATATATTTTTATGTAATTATTATAAGTATTAAATAAATATTAGAGTGTAATTAATCGATAAATTTAAATATAGATAAAACGTGATAAATTGGAAAAAAATCTTTTTTTTATTTGCATTCCTTATTTCCGAATGAATCTCTTAAGAGAAAATTCCTTAGTAATTACTAATACATTATATATAATTCATTATATTAACATGCATCGGATAAATATAAATAAATTTAGTTAGGTTATTGACAAAGGTTCATAATCATTGTTATCGTCATTATTTTTTGTTGACTATTTGACTTGTATTAAAACGTATATCATAATTACAAAAAGCCCTCATTTCTTAAGTATTTATTTGGTAATTGGTATAATAAACTTAATTTAGTAAACAATTTTACACAACATTTTTTTTTAGAATAAGGCATAATTATGATTCACATGTTAAACTATCTTTGAGAAATAAATTTTTCATTTAGGTAATTATCTTTATATATTATTATGACCATTAGAAAATAAACAATTAATTATATACAGTAATTTACTATTATCGCCATTTTCAAAATGGTGTACGCAGTTTATTTGTGATTGTATATTCGAATACCAATATTCGCCCGGTTTTCATCCGTTTTTTGTCCATATTTCATTTGGTTTTCATCCAGTTTTCGGTTTTCTTTTTTTTTATTCAAATTTAACTGCGTACATCATTTTGAAAACGGCGATAAATATTAATAAATTGTAATTTTAATTATTTCGTTATAATATATTCTAATTGTCTTTTTTAATTATTATTATAAGAAATAGTATTATTTATTTCATGGGGAGTTGGAAATAAATGAGTAATCCCCTGGAGCGTGTCACTCATTAAATATTAACTATTTGAACTATTTTAAACTAAAATTTGTAATTTCCGGCTATCTATATGACCTCAAGATACTCAAGATACTCAAAATAGTCAAGAAGAAATACCACAGGACGTCCAGAATAAACAAGAAGTTCAGGAAACTCAAACAAAATTATAAAATAATTTTTATTAGAAATTTTGCATATCAATTATTCATGTCATAAATATTAAATTTTTACATTTTTCAATATCATCTTTTAATTTATAAAATAAAAAGGAATTCTTAAAAAGTTTTGCTTTAATAATCTTTCAAGTTTAAATAATTAGCAAATTTTATAAATGAAATAATAACCTTGACTATATTTTACCTAGAAAAGCCTTGAGTTTAATTTGAATCTATACCCGTTTAGTTGCATGTCGCAAACCAAATTTCTCTTACTAGTATTAGATATACTGTAAACATTAAAAAACGTCACGTGCTGCACCACATCGATCTCCAAAAATAACGAAAATGAACCTTAGAACATTATCTCCATGCCGCTACAGGAAATGAAGTAAAAAAAAAGAAAACTAAAAAGGGGAAAAGGGAAGGGATAACGAGATAACAATCTGTAAAAAAAAGTAACTCACCTCAAAACTAGTACGTATTAACATAATAAGTACTTACGGTTAATCACGTGTATCTACGTAATTCCATTAAAATCTCGGCCTAATGACGTAATATTATTAGCACTAGGACTATGAAACCATATTACTATTATCACCTATTCAAATTCCAATATACTTTTTTATTTTTTGATTTGTGCGCTTTGTAAAAACTTCTTTTAATTCATTTTAAGTCTCTTTTACCTTTTCTTTTTCTCTTACTTGAACGTCTATTTCAAATCAAGAAACTTTTCTTGGGCACTTTAAAGATTTATCTTCAAAGTTTCAAGCTTTATTATATCATTTGTTTGAATAATTCAGTTTTAACATTTTTATTGTAACATGCTCGCTCATCAATCATCATTTAAATATTAACGTACAAAGATTATAAATAATTTACTCCTATTTAAGTATACTTTTCATAATATTTATGTGATTTAAACCCCGTAATCCCTAAAATATAATTTTTAACTAAATAAATTGTCTTTGTTAAAGGGAAGAAAATTGTTGAATCATGATTCTTAAGAATTTTTTTATTGGTCTTATTATAGCAACAACGATGGTTCATATATTTATTTATATTATAATTTATGCATATGGAACGTTTCTTATGAATTTTTTCTTGTAAGATAATAGATGGATGGCGGTGGATTCAACCTCCTTCTTTTACGACCTTTAGGGTTTTAACCCTTGTGAATTTTTTCTAAGTGTAGAAATTAAAATCTTAAAATAAAATCCATCCTAATTTTTTTGTGACGCCAACACGTCATGAATATAGGAATATAGCCAAAACTCTTCATACTGCAGGCAACTGTGGCAATTTTTTTCGCAAAATTTTTCGGTACATCTGGTTTAACTTTTTTTATCCTGTGTACAATATGCTGTATGTTTATATGTATTGAAAAATAAAAAATACAAAATTACATTGGAAACAATGTATGACAAATCAAAATAACAATATTAAGTTGCACCATTAAATCATTGCTCACAGTTTCATAACATTAAAATTCAGTTTCAATAATTAATATTCCTAGACCAACCAACAGTGTCATCTCAGCATCAAAGTGCAACATTAATCTATAGCCAGAGCACAAAGTAGTGATGGAAATGCAAATATTACACAAAGAATATATTTTTATTAAGGCCTTTCAGGCTTTCATCACATAAAATCATTATTATTGAAAAATATATGTAATAAAATACGAATTGTTTAATAGATCTCATCATTCTTTGACTTCAAATTTCTCATGATAAAACAAATAATGACAACAAGGAAGTTTTATATTGACAAGAAATTAAAAGGAAATTATACAATATGATTGCAGCTAAATAGTTATTTAAGCACAATATAATGAATTTTTACACAAAATTTAGACAAAGTTAGATAAAAATACAAATATCAGACATTTCTTTTTTATAGGGACTAGCCAAATATAGTTTCACCAAGTAACTATATATTAACCTATTTGTTTACAATAAATATAGTTTATCAATCTTAATTAAAAAGGAAATAGAAATAAGTAATGAATTTAAGTTGTTTAAAAAGATGGCATCAATGATACAACTTCAATAAATGAATTTTTTTGATTATATTTTAAGAATCCATAGCCTATGAAAAATAATTATAATATTTTTTTAAGGCAATAAATAATACTGGTAAGTTCTTAATCTTAAAGTATGGATATGAATATTAAACATAACAAATTTCAAACAAAAATAAAATTATAAATAAAGATTATTTCAATAATTATTATATCTGTATTAAAATATTTATTTTAGTAAAAATTGAAAAATAACAACTGACAAATAGCCCAACAAATAAAGAATAAATAACAGAATTTTTAAATGTCAACTTCACATTCAAAACAACCAGTATTTAAGATTTCAGTAAATTTACGACTTGTATAATATGCTTGTGTATGAGATTGTATAATAGGAGCATTTGCTTGTTCTTGTACTAAAGTTTTGTTTGCTTTTATAAATTCCAACATATCATCTTTTAATTTATTATCAATATTAGGTACTTCAAAATTATAATTTCCATTCCTGTTTATTTCATAATATTTATTAATACATCTAATCCATTCAGATATAATATTTTCGAGCATTGCTATGGTTGGTCTATTGGAAGGATCTGAATCCCAACATTTTTTCATTAAATTTATATAACATTTTGGAGTATTTTCAATAATTTCAGGCCGTTCTCCTTTACAAATACTTAAGGTAAGGTGATGATCATGTGCTACACGATTAAATGGAGGAATGCCTGATGTAAATTCCCACATTACCATTGAAAAACTATAAATATCACTTGCTGGTGTATAGGGTTTTTGTCTTAATGTTTCAGGTGCCATATAAGGTAAAACTCCATAGATTTCTTTAATTTTATTGTCAGAATCTTGTAAATCATTTATAGGTTTACATAATCCTAAATCAATAATAAATAACTCATTGTAATTATCTGATATTAAAATATTACCATCATGAAAATCACCATGAGTTAAATTTGATTCATGAATTACTTTGAGCCCTAATACAATTTTTTTCAATAATTGTAACTTTTCTTGCCATTTAAATTTAATTATATCAGATAAACATTTTCTTAAACTTCCTTTTTTTGCATAACTCATTATTATTATATAATTTGAATTATTTGGATCTTGGGTAAATCCAAAAAATTGAATAAACTTTGAAAATGATTTTTTCTGACAATTATAATGATATTTCCACTGTATAAATAATAAAAAAAATTAATTTTTGTAAAAGAATAAAATTTGTTAATAAATATAAATAATATATATACCTCATCCAGAAATTTACTATTTAAATTTGGTGAATTATTAAGTGTTTTAAGAATAACCTCATAACCTAATTGTCTATTCCATTGTTGTTTGTCAAAGTTCCAACTAAAAATAGGTCCATCGAACCAGATAGCTTTATGAATTTCACTAAATCCTCCTTTATCATAATAATTAATATTTAACAATTTATTATAAGGTATCCATTCTAAAATTTCATAACTATTTTTGGCATTTAGTTGTGCTTCTTGAATAAATTTATCAATAAATTCATTTTTACTGGTCCACTTTGAAAAATCAAGTTGAAATTGTTTGGCATTACATTGTTGACACCACTGGTAATTAGTATATAACTGTTTGCATATATTACATAATTCAACTTCATTTTTAAAATTTATTTTGTTAATTTCTATTGCTTTTTGATGCCAATAAAAGGCTTTTTCTAAATTCTTTTCTGTTCCTTCTCCATTTCTATAACGTAAGGCTAAATTATGCATTGCCTTTTCATCACCATTTTCTGCTGCTTTTTGATGCCAATAAATGGCTTTTTCTAAATTCTTTTCTGTTCCTTCTCCATTGTAATAACAAAAGGCTATATTATGCATTGAATTAGTGAAACCATTTTCTACTGATTTTTGAGACCAATAAAAGGCTTTTTCTAAATTCTTTTCTGTTCCTTCTCCATT